CTTTCCTGCCCAGGGGAGGTGGTTGGACTCCGTGATCTGCTGAGGTCCCTTGCCACGTCCCCACACGGCCGCATGGCAAACCCTCCCCACAGGGCCGCAAGCCATGCCCCTCACCTCCCTCCCTCCTGCACCACGAAGCACACCCTAGTCCCCACCGCCTCGCCTGTGTGTCTGTCTGTCCATAAGGCTCTGGGTGGTGCATGTGTAGTTGGCCCGGAGTGTTATGGACAGACAGACACACAGCCAGAAGTGCCACAGCTTTTATTATATTAGACTGCTGCAATAGTCAGATCATGTTGACCCATTCCCAATGTGTTTCAGCTATAGTTTCTTTAATTAGCTTATATAATCAGTGACACTCAACCATTTCAGTCACAGTGCTCCTCCATCGCCTTCTGATTTTGGCAGCACCCCAGTTGAGAACCCCTGAAGTCTCAGCTTACTTACTTCATCTCCAGGCTGTTGCGCCGTCACTGCCAGGTGGAATGGCCATGTGTGGTTCTTTCCAGGAGGGACACATGGAGCCAGACCTTGAAGCTGCTGCCTGTATTAGGTTTGCCTAACTATTTATCCCAGACATGCTCCAGGTGCACCCACTTCCCAGTCTAGTTCCACCTGTCCCTCCTGGGAATGAAAGCACATGGGGGAGTTTCACATGGCAATGGCAGTGCTGGCACCTGCGGCAAAACACCCTTTAAAGGCTGCAGCATTCCAGTTGTGAACTGCTGGCCTAGGCTATGGGTTTAACACAGTGATTCTCAACCGGGGTGCCAAGCAATGTTAGCACTGTTCAGTGTTCAGACATGATTCACAAGATAAACCCAGAGAGATTTTAAATAGGAATTCAGCGTTAAAAACATTCTAATCCATTGCGTCTTTCTGCACTCCCTTCAACAGAGGAACTACTCTATTATTTTTTCATAGTTAAAAAATGAGTGAAAACTAAGAGCTGACATTTTCCAAGGGATGCTTACAGTCTATCCAAGTTGAGAACCCCCCTAGTTTAATAGAATCGGAGCTGGAGTCAAGGATTACTGATTAAGCCTACGTGTTGGATGGTGTTTTCTTTCCTCCCCTTCACAGAAATACATTTTCCTGGGGGTTTAAACTCTGTTCTTTTCACATTCATCCTGATTTGGGGGGCAGGGGATGGGGGAGGGATCTGACATTCCTCCTCATCCCAACCTATTTCGAGGCAGTTCTCTTTTGACAGCTTCAGTATGGTGTGCCCTGTCCCTGGAGTTAGAGAAATCCTCTTCTTCTAGAGAGTCTTCTTTGGTTCTGCTAAATGCTGGCATACTGAGGTGAAGAATCAGTCTACTCCAATTCTTCTCACTGGGAGATGATGGAGTATTCACTGTAAGACTTTATGGCATTCTTTACAAACATGAAAAAAATTAAGGCACACAGGGTATTAGCAGGATATCCAGCTTTACTGGGCATTCAACACCGAAATCTTGCTCTGTTAGCATCGCCAGGGAGGTCTGGCAGAATCTCATTTCTTTATAGCTTTGATTTTGGAAATGCTTTTTCAAGCGCTCTGGCGTTCTCTCCTTCTGGTGCTGGAGGCCAGTTGTTATGATCTGTGATGCAAAAAAACAGCAGCAGCAACAACAAAAAGTACTTAATTCCTCTTCCAAATTAACCATTTATGTCCTCCCATTCCAAGTGGCACCCTGCCCAAAGTCAAGTCACTGCAGGACACATATTCCAATAGTCCATTTTTACCTGGTACATCCCAGGAGGAGGCATACAAGGTTTGACCGCCGTCCACAGTCACAGTTTCGCCAGTTATAAAGGAGGCAGCAGGAGACAGCAGAAAACACACGATAGGGGAGACCTAATAAAGAATTATGCAGCTCGTTGACTTTGGCGTTGGGGGGGGGATGTGATACAAAGTTCCTAGAGGCCGACATGCATGCAAGGCAGCTACTGCAACACAACCATGTTCTGTTGGTGCTGAGCATATGTAGTTAGTTCACCAGTTACATTAAGCCAAAGTTTGAACACAGCCACCATCTAAGTAAGGTTACTTACTGCAACAAGCCTTCTGAATTGGGGATCAGATATGAACTTATCTTCCCTACTTCAGGCCAAAAAAAAAAACCACAGCACTTTTCTTACTGACCAGACCAAAAATTCTTAACTGGGGTTCGTGAGATCCCTTAAAGGCCCAGCTCCCATGCTCCTCCCTCTGGGCCCACTCCAATGCACCACAGACAAGCAGTGCCCACAGCTGCTCCTCCGGGGACTCCTGCTTCTTTTGTCACCTCCTTCCCTGCCCAGCAGCCCCTGCACTCCAACCAGGGAGTGCAGCACGTTGTGATGTGGGCAAGCAGGGAATGCAGGGCTGCACTTTTCAGCCTAGCTCATCCCGCATGCTCCTCCCAGGGCAGGCAGGACGAAGGGGCAGAGGACTCTGTTTGCCAGCAGGTGAGCACCTAAGGGAGCAGCTGTGGCAGTGGGGAGGGGGTCTCTCTCACCCCCTCAGGTACAGAGTGGGCAGGGATGAACTATTTTAACAACTACATCCGTTTTTTCTTCTTACATGTCATTCTCTTTGTATTTATGACTACTCCGGAAAGCTGTACGCAGCTTTGGAAAGCTCATTGATTTTATGATCTTTATGTTTATGTTACACCAAAGGTTAGGCTTATATTGGCTACTGGCTGCCGGGAAGCATGTCATGTATGATACCTCCTGTCCAACACCAGCTAGAGGAAAATCGAAGACAGCATTAACATGGAATTGCCTTGGCAATCCAGTATGCCAATGAGACTGACCAAACTCAGAAAAAAAAATGGTGGCTCCAAGGTGTTGGGACTGGGTTTCAGGTACTCAGATTTAAGGCTCACAGCAGGACATGCTTTTGGGATGAAAAAGGAACCTTTTGACTCTCAGATCTGAACAACTTAAAGAGTTTGTTCCAGGGACAGAGAATGTGAACCTGAGTGCCACGCAATAAATAACTGCAGTGACCCCCACGAGCGCATTCGCTCCTCCTCTCCCCAAACTAGACTGAAGTGACTCTAAATTCAGAAGAGTTATGAAGGAGTGCCAGAAGCCAGAAAAAAAAATTGAGAACTGATGGATCAGGCAATCAAATATAAAAGAGACCAAGTTTTTTCTCACCTTAACCATCAGTATTTTCCATCCTCTCTCTCTCATTTAACAAGCGTTTTAGGAAGAAACTAGAAGTCGGTACTAGAAACTGGTGTCTGTAGTGAATTTTCAGTATACATCTAAAAGCGTGGAATCTTTAAGCATTCCAGCAATTCTTATAAAGCTCCTTGCTCAGAGCTCCCCTTCTTGCACTGCTTTTTATATTTAAATATTCACCCATTATCATTCTCCATATAAAAAAAGTGCCAGAGGTACAGACACCTTAGCAATAAACCTATATTCTGAAATATCTTACCTCTTCAGGAACTCCCAGTCTCTTGGCTGGAATCTTTGAGGGATATGTTTTTAAAATGTCATCAATATTTTTATAGTTTGCAAAGGCAGTTTCTGAATATATTGTTCCCTGTAGTAAAACAAAGCAAAATGAGACCAACGCAATGTTGTATACATTCAAATTCTAACCTATTTAATACCCAAATGTTTTTATCACATAAACAGTACCCAAGGGCAATTTTTTAAAATTATTATTAGGCTTGGGTATAATAGGATAGCTATTTATATTGCTACTGGACTCTTTGCTGTCTCATTACTACAGCAGCAAAATTCTTATTGTAAGCCAGTTTTAAGATTTTGAATGGAAATATATTGGATTTCCTTAGTTAACCATCAGTGCCTCAATCTCACCTCAAAAGCTACAGAAAGCTAGATAGACAGTAAGAACTCCAGAGACAACTTTGGGAATTGCATATATTTAAAATTGTTTTTTACTGAAGGAGAACAAAAGTCCTGAACACCAGGACTTTTCAAGGGTTTCTTCCATAGATTCACAGATACTGTACTAGGGTCGGAAGGGACCTCAACAGATCATCGAGTCCGAGTCTTGTGCTCTTACAGAACGCTAGACAGGTGTGTGCAGTGGTCAAACCAGAGGCTCCAGTCAGATTCAGAGCCCTGGTTTGTGCAGATGCATAGGAGGAGACGACGGTCCCTGCCCTTAGGACTTTCCACTGTAGATTAAGGTGCAAGGGAAAACGATGGTAACAGTGGGAACACAGGGGTCACAGAGATCAATTGTGTGCATCATCCCCATGTTTCATATTGTTTTCCAAGGGGGAGAGATTTTCTGAATTAAAATGGAAAATTTCTGTCATTAATTCATCATGCGGGTATTGAAGAGTGATTAATGCAGGAGTGGGCAATTGTTTGGGCTGGAGGGCCACTTAGGGAGTCATGGTGAGCTGTTGCGGGCTGTAGGGGTCAACTGATCCAATCCGGCCAGGCCCATCTGCCCTGCACCCACCACTGGGGGCATCAGACAGAGCAGGCAGGCAGGTGGGGTCCATGGAGACTGGCTTGGGACCCCTGCGGGCACAGCATACAGCCAGGTGGATGGGATGGGACTGTGGGCGGGCAAGGAGCAGCATCCAGAAGTGGGATGGGCGCTGTCACCACCCGGTGATCCCATCCCCACCCGCCTGTCCCTCTCCTGGACAGTGCTCCACACCCGCCCACAGCCTCACCCCATCTGCCCAGTTGAGTGAGCCCTGCCCGTAGGGGTCCCAGGCCGGTTTTCATGGAGACCCTGCCCAGTCACTTCATCCAGCGCCCCTGGTAGTAGGTGTGGGGCAGATGGGCCAGGGTGCCTGGGCAGCAGGGCCAGATGCAGCGACGGTGGTAACACTGGCAGTGGCAGCCAGAAGGAGCCACCCCTGCCACTGGGGCTGCCAGGAAACTCGGTCTGGCCATTGTGCCACCCCAGCCCTGCTGCAAGCCTAGGAGTGGCAGGACCAGCTGCATGCGACACAGCCTGGGCTGCCCCCTGCGCCTGGGATGGGTGGGGCCCAGGGACTCGCTGCAGGCTGGATCCCTTGGTGGGCTGGATCCAGCTCGTGGGACATATTTTACCCACCCCTGTATTAATGTCTTAGAGGAGGAATGTGAACTAGTGCTTTTGGGGAATTAGAAGTAAAATATTTAACAAATAAGCATGTTATTTCCTTTGGAATCAGACCTTGTTCTTTAATACATGTTTCTTTCATGTCTTCGGCTTATAAACTGCAGTGAAAGTTTCCTGGGGGTTACCACAACGATTGTGTGGCCACAGGGATGAAGTACAGATGTGAAAGATTATCCTGACTGCCATGTGGAATTTTGTAGTTGACATAGCAACAAATCCATTTTAGACTTGCCAGTAAATAACTGTTGTAAAACATCTGTACACTTGCCAACTTTTATGTTATCTGACGATCAGAGCAGCGTGTGTGGGATAGATGACATGTTCTACAAACACGAGTACTGCAAAAATCAAACTACATATTGAAATCTTTATCAGAGATGCTGTCTGACATATGCATTAAAATGTAATTGAGATTATTAACTGGATAACTAATACCCAACTGAAAAAGGCAGGCAGACTCACAGAATGTGTTGATGTATAAGTTGACCTAAGTTGCTATTTCCCCAAGATTTAATAAGCCTAAAAAAAACTCAGCAAAAAATAATACAACACTTAGTAGATTTCACTGACGAAAAGGAGAGTTAGGCTTCAAGGTCTTTCTTTACTCAATGAAACCTTTACTCAACCATGCATATCTGTCTCTGAGGAACTTAGGCTTTCTCGACCTGAATGGAACAGCAGTCCACAAACCAACAGAAAGCAACTTAAGCCTCCAGTCAAAAGGCATGAACTACCTGTGTGCAATCCAATACAGGCAGAAGGTTTCCCTATTGACTGGCCAGTTGATTAGATGTGACTTTTGGAAACAGAAAATAATGTGGATTTTGAATGGGAAACATCTCCTTGTCCCACATATGCCCATCAAAAATAAAGTGTGGTTTAGGATGAAGTTTCCAAGAAGGAAACCAGTGCACCTACAGTTCCAAGTTAGGGCTAAAATGCCTCTCAATTCACAGCAGCCTGTATTAGGAAAAGCCAGTCTTTCCATAAGACTGCTTAAACCAGTTATTCAACACATACTTAGTTCCTCAGGGACGTGATGAGCATGTTTTAGCTACCTTGTACATTGGTTTCCTATGTACATATGTAACACTCATATTTTGCCTAATAATAACCCTAATTTCCATAGGGAAATTGAGACAAAAAGAAAATAAGGGACATGCTCCAAGTTGCCCACCGGAAGCAGAAGCCATGTCTTGGCTCCCAATCCTGAACTAGTCTCACGAATCCATCCTGTCTCCCACTCTTTCTATACAGAAGCACGGTGAGCCCAGAACTCAGGTAACCACTACTGAAACACTGAGCACTGCATAAATGTTCATGATGAGCATTTGAAAAGCACATCTCCCTCCCCTCTTTAGTGTCCTTCTGTTAAGGAGAAAAAGCACAGATGTGCCAAAAAACCCTGGACGTGGAAGTGATAACAGACACAAATTATACTGATGGCACTCAAGGGGGCTGAAATTATCAAAGCGGTTTTTTTGGTTGGTTGGGGTTGGGCTTCTTTTTTAACACCCATCACTGCCCTATGCTGGCTTTTTAAAATCTTAACCATGGCCATGCCCTGTTGGCAAGTGTGGTCATATAACCTGTTGTTACAGTACTTACCGGGGCAACACAGTTGATTCTCACTCCTGCACCAGCCCACTCAATAGCTAAACTCTTGGTCAGGTTTTGCACTGCAGCTCTAGCAGCTCCTGTATGCCTATCAGAGAGAGAAGAATCAATGTCCACACGTAACACAGAGCTTTGCCTCACCACACCCTGACAAATTAAAAAAAAAAAAGCCAGATTAACACAGGTACTGTTTAAGCTGGACCAGTCCCTTAGGGAGGAGCATATTCTACTTTATGAAGCAGACATTAACCAATTTAGCACCCTAGAGATGGGCAAAAGTCAAGAGACAGCTTAGTTGAAAAACCAGAGATCATAAGATGGCTGCAAGAGATAATATGATGAGGAAATCCCAGTGCACAACGCAATAACACAGCTGGGCAGATAAACTGCAACAACAAATATTTCTGCTGTAAGCTGGGGCCTCATCAGCTGAGGCTACAAGCAGGAGAAAGATCTGGGTATAATGGCCAATCACAGAACAACTACAAGCCACTACTGTGATATGCCCGTGAAAAATAATCCTAATGGGTCTCTAACAGACATAGGGAAGTATTAATGCTGTTATATAAGGCCCTACAGAGTCCTTATCTGGAATACCATGTTCAATTCAGATACATCATGCTTGAGAGAGATGAATTCAGACTTGTGTAAGTGCACAGAAGTGCTACCAAAATGATCAAGGCCATGGGAAAGCCTGTATCATGAGAGAAAGATATGAGAACTTGTCTTGTTTGGCTAGAAAACACAAAGGCTGAGAGGGGATATCATTGCTGGCTCTTCTCCCAGTGTATTTAGACATTTACGCTAATGGAAAATGCTGACAAAAGCCAAACACACACACGCATATAAAACAGACCACAAATACACTTATGCAGAAACTCAGAACGAGGTTCTGGAATAGCTTTCCCATATAAGCTAAGGGAGAAAACAGATTCCCTAGTTAGAAGACTGGAAGTTGAAATGAAAGGGTCAATATAACCTAGCTGCCTGCAATAACATCAGCTGGACCTAATGACCCAAGAGGTCCCTATGATCCCAAGTCAAATGCACTGGGAACCTGGAAGTTCACCGGTCAACAGTTTTGCTCATCCAGGCACAGAAACGGAGTTCATAACTGACCACATGAACAGTGTCCTGAGACCTGTTTTCACCTTTTTTTAGGAAATAAGATGGGATTCAGGCAGTCCAGCTTTGGGTTTAAACACAATTGTGGTAGTGACATATCCTCTGTGGAAGCTCTCGCAGGCTTTTCCAGAGCAGAGAATTTCACACTGAGGTTTGAGCACCATCTTGTGGATATTTTAGATCATCTTCGTGAGCCTACAACAGGGGTGGCCAACCTGTGTCCTGAGAGCCACAAGGGTACAGGCAGCCTGTGTACGTGGCATGTGGGTGGATGGGGAAGGGGACAGGAAGCACAGCAACAGATATGGCAGGAAGCAAAAAAATCAGGCAAGGAGCAGAGGGCTGGGAGCTGAAAGCAGAGCAGCACATTGGGAGGAGGATTGGAGCGGCACTTGGGGAGGGTAAGGGGCCAATTTGTGGCACACCTGCTAAAAGGTTTGGCACCCACTGGAGTACAGTCAGTCAGTTCAGGGCTTTTATACAGAGCTGGTTCAGGAACTGGTTTTGTGTTCCACAAACATTTAAGACTTCAAGTTTCTAATCCTGAATCAAGTAAAAAAAAATCTTGAAAATGTTTGCCAAGGGAAAAGTGTTAGGAACAAAACATTTTGCATTCAGTCTATTTTTTAAAATATAAATTAGATTCTATTTAAAAACAAAAACTAGTTCAAGTGGATAAAGATGAATATTACCATTTAGGAAGCTGTCCAAATTGTTCTGACAATTTCAAAAAGCTTTCAAAACGTCTTCAGCCCTTTCTCACAACATATTTTAGTTCCAACGAGTCAGCATTTCCTGATGGAAAATGCTTCAATTCTCTGACCATCTCTACTCTCAGAAAGTAAAAAAATTATGAACACATTTACTAAAAGCCTGCTGATCCAGCTGCATGCGAGTATGCTGGTCTGCAGCATGCAACAGGGGAGAAGGGAGTTTCATCTCATACAGCCTAATGTTACCCAGCTCGAGAGCCAGACTATTACCATAGCTTCCTCTGAGCTCCAGTATTTGCACATACAGTCAGGCTAGTCTTAAAGACATTTGGAAGGAATGTCAAGGCAGAGCAATAACTACATTTCCACCCCTTCCTTGCTGCTGAGCATATGCAACTATCCACTACTCAGAAAGCAGGCTCTGCTGGGGACACTCAGCTGAAAGTGGTCACAATTTCCAGGTGAAAAAGGTTTGGAAATATAAGTAGTCTCACGATAAACCAGGCATCCCAATTCTTGTGGCAGCTACAACGTTGACAATGGCTCCTCCATGCTCCTTCATCCAGGCATTGTATACTGTAGAGAGGGAGTAAAAATAAGCTTATTAATATCTGAATCTTTTAACGAGAATTTTTCTCCCACTGATGAGAGCAAGCTTCTGGCTGCCGCAACTCCCAAGTCCCCCCACAGCTTAGCTGCATTCCTGAAGGGCCCTGGAGAGGTCACCTACCCTTTTTAAATGAGTTTCATCATTTGTGAAATGGGACAGCTAGTGTGATGCTTTCCAAACACTAAGGAGTTATCTTGCTTGTGGAAAGTCTGAGATCTTAATTCCTACCCTGTGAATATTACTCCCACTGTCCTATGATCATACCGCACCAACTTTGAATTTAGCCTCACATTTCACCTTTCACAAAAAGCACTAAGTCTATGTCTGTGGGGATGGAATCCATCGGATGAAGAACATCTTTGGACACAAAATGCCCAGTAAGTTCAACATGGGCAGAAGCCAACTTTTACTTTCAGAAGCTGCAAAAACAACTTAGGAGTTATCTATCTTGGACCTAGTGCTCACCAGCCGGGATGAACTTGCAATGGAATTATTGTAGTACGATAGATAGTCTTCCTGATTCTAAAGAAAGGAAAACACAAAAGCAGCCAAATGAGGAAGAATGGCTTCAAAGAGGCAGGCAACTGATAACACACTCAGAAAACATTAAGTCAGATCCTATGGACAGACAATTCAGGAGTTTAAAGAGGGCTGGCAGTTCCCAAGGAATACAGTGCTAGAGGCTCATTGTCAAAGTATGCCAACACAAAGGAAAGCTAAGAAGGATCTCAAGAATGAAGGCAGAACTATTCAATGCTAGCTTCACATATAAAAAAGCTGCAATCAGACAACTAGCAGCATTAATATACACGCCAAAGATGATGAGATTCAACTCATGATAAGTAAAAAGTTGCAGGGAGCAACTGTGCTGGGAGCCCAGTTCTGCAGTGTAGTTTCCTCCTTCCCTGCACCGCTCCTTTCCCCACTCTCATATTTCCCCTACACAGCTGCTCCCACACCTCCCAGCTGGAGCACTGTGATACCCGATTCTAAAATGAGGCTTTGTTTTCCCCATAACGAAGGGGTACAAACCTCATCTTGGAATTGAGTAAATACAGTAGCTCAAAAAAAAAAAAAAATAGACCCCTGTAACAACATTTGCAAATTCAACTGAAAATCATATCTGCAAACTCTTTGAAGGCATGAGGTCCAAAAGAATTGGAGACGGACTAATATGTTGTCCCTCTTAAAAAAGGAGGCCCAGAAAACTACAGACTGTCATTCTGACTTCAAATTTAGGAGATTACTAGCACAAATTGAAAACAGTTGATTTGTAAATATTTGGAGGATGAAGGGCATGACTACTAGTAGCCAACATAGCTCTGTTAAGGACAAATCAGGTCAAACGACTTCCTTTGTTGACAGGATAACCCATTTGGGGACAAAGAATATGGTGGACATAACATACCTGGACTTCAGGAAGGCTTCTGACATGATGCCACATGCCATTCTCATAAGTAAGCAAAAGAAATGGGAACTAAATTGAATTACCATTACGTAGACTCATAATTGTTTGAATAACTGCAAGCAAAGGGTAACGTAAATGGATCAATGTCAGACCGGCAGGAAGTCTCAAGTGGGGATTCACAGAAGTTCATTCTTGTTCTTCTGCTAATTTATTACTAACTTGGATGCAGAAGTAAAGAACACCCCAAATCAAATTTGGAAAGAACACAAAACTGGGAGAGGACACAAATGCTTTGGAGGGCAGGATTAAAATTCAAAGGTATATTGAGAGAACTGACTGGGCAATTGAGAAGAGGATAAAAACGAACAAGACAAAAATGTAACAGGCTGCACAGAGGGAAGGAAAGCGAAATGCACAAATACAAAACGGGGGAGAACCAGTGTGGCACAGACTGTGATTCTACTAGATCACAACTTCAATGAGTTGGCAGCGTGATGCTGTCACACAACAGCCAATGCAGGTTTGGGAGGCATTAACAGAAGCACTGTATGCAAGACACAGGAGGTGCCAGTACCACCTATACTTAGCACTAGTTGGCCCTCAATGGGAATACTTGATATAGTTTTGGTCCCCACCTGTTAAAAAAAGATTGTGGAGAAACTGGAAAGGATCCAGAGGCAAATGGCAAAGATGGCAAAGGGACTGAAAAGCAAGCTGCATGAGGAAACATGAAAAAGGAACCAGGTACGTGTAGCTTGGAAAGAAGATTAGCTGGACATGTGATAGTAATTTTCAAATATCTGAAAAGTTGTCAGAAAGAAGATGGAGGAAAATCCTCTCCCCTTGACACAGAGGGCTGGATGCATGGCAGCGGGTGTGGACGGCAGCAGAGCTGATTGAGAATTGCATCTCAGGGAAAACTTCCTAGCTGCAAGAAGAGTAGGACAGTGGTAATAGTTGCCTGGGGAAGTTGTGGACTCTCCTTCATTGGAGGTTTTCAAGAAGAGGCTGGATAGGTATTGTGGCGAAGTGGGGCTCCCCGCCTAGCCACAGTGCTAGGTTCCCTACTTGCCTTTGGGGATGGCTCCCACCTGACTCGCCTGCCAAACCTTGCTTTTATTAATTAGGATGTTAATTAAGTGGAAGGCTGCCCATTTTATGCCCTGATGCCAGGGGTTGCTATCTGCAGATCCAAACCTTCCCTACGCCGCAGCCCGTGCCTCGCAAATGGCGTCCAGCTGTTAGTCACACCAGCCCCACACTGGGCTCCAGAATCCTCCTATCAGGACCCACCTTTGATCCCTCTGCTCAGGCGGCCTACTCTGCCATCTTTTGGGTTGCCAATCTCCCTGTAGCTATCTCTCCTCTTGGGCGTGGTCCCCCCGGGACCTTTGGGATGGCTCCCACCTGACTCGCCTGCCAAACCTTGCTTTTATTAATTAGGATGTTAATTAAGTGGAAGGCTGCCCATTTTATGCCCTGATGCCAGGGGTTGCTATCTGCAGATCCAAACCTTCCCTACCCCGCAGCCCATGCCTCACAAATGGCATCCAGCTGTTAGTCACACCAGCCCCACACTGGGCTCCAGAATCCTCCTATCAGGACCCACCTTTGATCCCTCTGCTCAGGCGGCCTACTCTGCCATCTTTTGGGTTGCCAATCTCCCTGTAGCTATCTCTCCTCTTGGGCGTGGTCCCCCCGGGACCTTTGGCCACACAGGCCCTGGCCTCACCTCCAAGGCCAGGCGGGACCCCAGGCCCTCTGCTCTGGGCATCCCTTGCAGTGGGCCCCTGGCCCTTTTGACCTTCCTGGTCCTGGCCCCAACACTGACCAGTCGAGGGAGTACTCTACCTCCAGCCTCTCTCACTAGCCCCACAATCTCTCTCGGGTCCACCTTCCTGGATGTGGGAGCTGGGGTACCTCATACCACGAGTGATGCTCCAGGGTCTCACAGGGGACTCTCACTCCCCCCACTGGAGCAGCAGGTCGTGGTGCTACTTAAGATCTTACTTTTGACCCACACTTGGCCTCCCAGCAGTGAAGGACTTATTGGAGTCAGGACTCGCCCCTCTCTCTCTTGGGCTGAGCCCCCTTTACTCGGCCTCTGGCCCAAACGTCAGCCTCTACCACGAGTGATGCTCCAGGGTCTCACAGGGGACTCTCACTCCCCCCACTGGAGCAGCAGGTCGTGGTGCTACTTAAGATCTTACTTTTGACCCACACTTGGCCTCCCAGCAGTGAAGGACTTATTGGAGTCAGGACTCGCCCCTCTCTCTCTTGGGCTGAGCCCCCTTTACTCGGCCTCTGGCCCAAACGTCAGCCTCAAGCATCCAAAAACCTACCTGGGCCGCCTCCCCTCACTCGGGGCTCCACACCACCCCCTCACCTGGGGCTCCATATCTCTGCCCCCTTCACTCGGGACTCCATGCCACCCCCTCGCTTGGGGCCACAGGGGCTTCCCTTCCTGATGGGCTCAGGTGGCCGGAGCCGTGCCTGGCCCCCACTCTCCTTCCTCAGGGTCTTGCACCCCAAAGGGCTCAGCTGTGCCTGGCCCCCACTGTCTCTGGTGTCACACAACTCACCTGAAGGTGAGGGCTAGGGTTAAGGCGCCCCTCCCTGCCTTTCACCGGGATGGTAACTGGCCTGGCATTTCCTGGGGGCTCCCGCACCACTGAGAGCCCCCCCAGGCCACACAGTCCTGGCAGGCTGCAGTTTTAAGTCATGCCCAGGACCAGGAGTCTCCTGACCATCCCCTACAGCTCCTGCCCTTACCTCCAGGATGATACACGAAGCCTCACAGCCAGGCGATGTTAATGCCTTCCCAGCCAGCAGGGAACTGAGCTCTTTATATAGGCAGCCTTATGGCTGCCTTAATCAAGCACCTGCTGGCTGCTTAGCTTTGGTCTGAAAGTGGCAGGCACCAACAGTGCCCTGCCATGCACCTTCCCCCTTTAAATGGTACCAAGGGGGTTTCCCCTGCTGCTCCTCCAAAGCAGGCTCCCCTCGGAGCCTGCGAAAGCCCTAAAGTGGTGAGCACCGCAAAAGTGCTCTGCCACACGCCTCCCCCCTTAAAATGAGATCTGGGGGGTTTCACCTGGCTGCCTTCCCTTCTGGGCTCTGCCCCAGCCTGCTGCAGCCCCTGCCACGTGGTGAGCAGCCCAAAGGTACTCCACCAGAGGTATCTACCAAAGATGTTTTAGTATCTTGCATCTGTGCAGATGGTTGGACTAGATGACATACGAGGCCACTTCCAAACCTATGTTTCATATAACTGATTTAAGAATATATTTAGCTTAGGATGAGATCTATGGAAACTGCTACCCAATGAGCATGTCTACTTGTACGTTTTAATGTGCATTACCCTATTTTAATGTGCATTAAAACATTTTAACATGCCTTAAAGCATCACCAAAGAAGCCATGCTATTTAGTTAATATGCATTAAAATAAGCTAATGTGCATTAAGTGTCACTTAATGTACATTAACTAAAGAGCATGGTTTTTAAAACAGGCTAATGTGCATTTTCCTAGTACCTCACAATAGAGGACACTGATACATGAGATGCGGGAGGCTGTTGGAATGCAATAATTACCACACTCCAGCAGACTTGATTAATTGAGTCTGCTCTGACACGCCGTCATTACAGCGTGTTGGAGCAGCCGCCGGACATGTGTACAGGTACCCGGAGGTACTAGATTTAATGTGCATTAACGAACACACATTAATGCACATGAAGATGTGCCCACTGTCATGCACCTGTATGGAAAGCAATGGATGGGAAGAAATTAGGCAAGCTTTTAAATGATTTGCTTACTGGTATTTCTGCAAGTGTTGGGTGCTCACCTGCTTTGCAGCAGTAGAAGGTCCCAGTCAGATTAGTTTCGATCACAGCATGCCAGCCCTTTGACCGGATAAGCTCAGCAGGACTCATAAACTGGCCTCCTCCATTGTTCACCAGGAAATCGATCCTACCATGCAGATCCAGCGTGGACTTCACCAGAGACTCCACCTAATAAACAGCCATGTTGGCTATGCTATGAAATCCCATTTCATCCAGAGTTGCCCCCCACGTATCGTCTCCTACTACATCAAAGCACAGGTTCTTCTAGGCTCCAGCTCTGCATCTATACCCGCCCCAGCCCCCAGCTTTGAATGCAGCTTGACAGCTTTAAATAGCTAAGAAGGATCGGGCTGAGTGAGCATTTGGATGGAAGATCTATCAAGAACAACTCAAGAGCTGCACAAAGCACCAGGATGGAAATAAAGGTGGAGCTGTACCGCTGGAGGTGTGGGATTTTTCTCCTTGTCAGAGTATAAAAAGGGAGACATGCTAACTAAACTAAACATCATTAATAAATCCTTGGCACTTCTCAGGAGAGCAGGGGGGTTTGCTTCAGGATTCTGGTGGAGCACAACAGAAGGTAGTTATGGATATTTTCTACAGAACTGGATTTCTTGCTGTTTTCAAATGGATTACAGTATTTTTAAATTTGCTTCCTGTTTTAAAAGCAGCCACAAAGCATTGCTGGCACTTCAGCAGCAGAGCAGAGAAAATACTACTTGTGCATGAGTAGCTTCATTGTTCACGTTCCTGATATTATAAAAATAAGCAATAGGCAACTTTCTCCAGTGAAATGGGCTGACTGCATCCAGTGCAGATGACTGCTTACAGGGCAACTGTGAAAAGAAGGGGTGGAAAAACAAATCAAGCAGTCCTAATGCTCCCTTCAGCAAGAGAAATATTTTGCTACACAAATACGCATACTTACCTGTTAGTGGAGGCAGAAGGAAGATTAAGAGGGCATTCTAGTAGTATTAGTATTTCATTATTGTAATAAACTCCTAGCAAACTGCAACAGAGGATCTACTCTGCATAGCTTAGAAGAGCTCAGGGTTCCCAGGGAAGAGGAGTGGCCACATACAGGTCAGGGAGCCAGGATGTTATAAGGCTAATTCTAGCTCCGAGACAGATCAGTCCAAGTCTTGGGCTAAACAATGAAACTTCTGCTTCAATCTCCTCTTCTGAAGGGTATCACCATCCACATTTGCGCATTTAATGCTCAACAGAACTTTGCATAAGGGTGCTCGGAGGTCTTAGGTTTTACAGGAGTGTACCTATCTTTCTATCGCAAAAAGAAGAACGAGAGACCTTTTGAATAACTGTCCATCAAAATCAATTATTTCACTCCATTTTTTTCCACTCCTAATTTCCAAGCTATCGTAAAAATGTTCCGCGGGCTGTCAATTCTCAGCCTAGGAGAAGATATGAGGAGTTGATCTGGCATCTCTGGTCACACAAAACAGACGGAAGAATAAGTAATGGGACTGTTCTGCTGACCAGGCAGATTCAAGATGATGCTCTTTCCTCAGTGGGCCCGCACTCGTTCTTCTCCCTTCCCGGACACTGCGCTGGCAATACACTGCAACATCCGAAACACAAGAACAGGCACTGTGTCACCTAACTTCTCGTGAAAGCCACAAACTTAATAAAACATCAGCTCAGCAAGGAAGCCAGCAGGGGGAGAACAGAGAGAGCCCTTTTTAACTTTACAGAATTTTTAAGCAGGTGAACGTGAGATCTAACAAAGGAGTAAAGAAGCTGGTTTTAGTCTCTCACAGCAACTAAAATCAGAGTCAGGGAAAAAAGGCGATGAACAGCAGTGGCAGTAACTCCCTAGGTGCCAGAGCTGCGCTGAAACAGTGGCTTGGAAACCACAGGGATTAACACCACCAGCTGTGGGTTGTCCAGCTGGTGGGAAACCCCACAGGCGGGATACAGCTTGTAGGGCCAAAGGAGCTCATCGCTCCGGGAGTACACTGGGCACGTCTACACGTACACTTTAATGTGCAGTGACCTATTTTAATGCACATTAAAGCATCACAAAAAAACCCTGGCTAATGCATATTAAAATAGGCTCATGCACATTTTTTTAGTACCTCACACTGGAAGGCATCTATTCACGTGCTCTGGAGTGTGTGGCAGGGAGGGGCTTTAATTAGAGCAGCTCCAAGAGCCAGTTTAATTAAAGCGCCTGCAGCGTCAGGTGTATTCCATGTCCTGCCCTTCAAAGTGGCAGCAGGAGTGCCTGAACTGAAGTTTGTTCGACAAGCTTTAGTTAAAGTGCCCCACTGCCATTTTGAAGTGCGAGGACACTGAACAGACGTGACACAGAGGCTGCTAGAGTGCGTTAATTAACATGCACCAGCAGACTTCATAGTTTCATAGTTTCTAGGGTCGGAAGGGACCTGGGCAGATCATCTAGTCCGACCCCCTGCCATGGCAGGAAAGAGCACTGGGGTCAAACGACCCCAGCAAGATGGTCATCGAACCTCCTCTTAAAACCCCCCAGGGTGGGAGCCTGCACCACCTCACTTGGAAGCTGGTTCCAGACCCTGGCCGCCCGGACCGTGAAGTAGCGCCTCCTGATGTCCAACCTAAACCTTCCCTCCGCCAGCTTGTGACCGTTATTCCTGGTCACTCCTGGCGGCGCTCGGGGGAACAGGGACTCCCCCAGTGCCTGTTGATCCCCCCTGACTAGTTTATAGCAGGCCACAAGATTCCCTCTCAGCCTTCTCTTCTGGAGGCTGAACATGTTCAGGTCCTGTAACCTTTTCCCCACACTGCCAAGCCATGTTCATCTTGGAGTCAATAATGACTCCAAGATCCTTTTCCACCTCTGTGCTGACAAGAGGGGAGTTCCCCAGCCTGTAGGTATGGTGCCGGTTGTTCCTCCCCAGGCGCATCACCTTGCACTTGTCTGTGTTGAACCCCATCCTGTTCTCCTCCGCCCATCCCTGTAACCTGTCAGGGTCCGACTGTAGCCTGTTGCTCCCTTCTATTGATAGACTTGATTAATTGAGTCTGCTCCCGTGCATCGGAGCAGACACCTGGCATATGTATACGTGCCCGGAGGTACTAGATTTAATATGCATGACTTAAAGCACATTAATGAACGTGCAGACACATCCACTAAAGAGCTATCAACATGAATAGCTGTATCAATTTTACTGAAAGGTTGATTTTTAAAATTGTTATACAGTGGTACAAGAAGCTGTGTGGACACTTAACCTTGGGTTATGCCAACTTAGTTTACAGTGGGTAAGTTGTTTCTGTTTAAATGAAACCTAAACAAGACTGTTTTTATTTAAACCGAGGGTTTTCAAAGGGTATTATACTAGATCAGTTTAAGCCGCGGTTCAAATAAACCTTAGAACCAAAGGCCGCTTGTACACGGGATGAGGGTTTAGTTCTCCCTAAATTGAAAACAGTGGGTCTTTAATTGGTGGGTTTTTGTGTCGATTAAAAGCCAACTATTTCAATTTGGGGACTTCAGTCACTGCTATGGAACAGCGATGGCCCACTGGCAGCTCCCCCCGCCCCAGGCTCCACCAGAAAATAAATAAAAAAACAAATCAAAGCAACAAGGGGCCCAATGCTTCGCCCCCACCCCTGCAGTCTGCCCACCTCTCCTGTGGCCGGGGGTGCGAGCTGCAGAGCGGCCCGATCCTTCCCTTTGAGGCGGCAGTGCTCCCCAGGCAGCACCCGCCTGCTAGCACCCCACCCAGGTGGTCCGGGGGGGACCGTCACCACAGAGGGAAGAACTAGGCCGCCCCGCAGCTCAAGGGCTGCGTGACCTGGCAGCAGCTAGCACGGGCAGGCTCTGCGGAGAAAAAAAAGTGGCAAGGAGCTCATCTTTTTCTTTTTGTTTCCTCCCGGAGCCTGCCCGACTCTTCCACGGCCGGGGGGCGAGCTGCTGGTGGCCCAAGAGGCTCTTGAGCTGCAGGGGCCCTGGTGCTTCCCTGCATGGCAGTGGTGCTCCCCAGGGCTGCCTGGGCAGGAAGCTCGCAGGCAGCACCTGACCCGATCCAACGATGCACAGGGTGCTGGAAGCCCGGGCGTGCTCGGGGAAGCTTGGGCTTGGCGGGCTTCCAGCATCCCACCCTGTGCATCATCCCCACCACCTTTCCGCAGCCTGGGACCACCCGGGAATGGGCTGACTTGTCCCTGGGGCAGTGTGGGAAGGCAGCAGGAGGGTGGCAGCCAGAGAAGCCAATGGAGACGGTGCACGGGGTGCTGGAAGTCCGCCAAGCCCGAGCTTTCCCTGAGCACGCCTGGGCCTCCAGCACCCTGTGCACCATCCCCACCACCTTCTCCAGATGTGTTGCTGTTACGTAGCAAACTACAATACTTTGCTATGTAGCAAAGTCATTTAAAGTGAAATATGCTGCCGCACACGTACAGCGTGACGAAATTAAAACGAAATATACTGCCGCAGGTATAAACGGTGATGCCATTAAACGGGTGCAAAAGGGCAATTAAGACGCTTTAAAGGCCAATGTTGTCACACGTACATGCGCCCAAAGAGGGCTGCCAGCTTTATTTTGAAGAATAAACTCCTCACAAAATTAAAAATAGATTGTGGAGAACACAGAACCCTGTTCAGACCCCACCTTGGTGTTATGAAGGGGTGAGGATGACTTACTTCCTGGCAAAGCCATATCTGCTTCTCTACAATGCATGGACTTTTAGGAGAAAGAAGAAACTAATGAGATGAAGAGAGCCAGCCAGCCACAGACAAACAGGGAGACCTGAAAAATGTAATGTGTGACTTGCTTCCAACAAGCAATTTTAACCAAATGTTGCTCTCAGATTTATATGGCTCTTTATTTTGTCAGAGCAATAAATGCAAATAGACCAGTACTCCACGACACAGTGAAGGCTGACCACCTCTCCTGTCCCAGCCTAGAGGCTTTGATACTTTCATACCGTAGCTGCCCCCCTAAATAATTCACCACGAGTATTATTATAAAAGCAGGAGGATTTTAGGGCTGTTGGCAAAAGGAACCCATTGCTACCCACAGGGGAGGAGCAGCCATGGTCAATATTACCGCACTGGGATCAGACCGAGTCCCTCTCCAAGTCTGTTTTCCCTATAAGACATGTCTGCAAGACATCCAGCTGGCTGTCTACCTGGGTTTTGATGTCGGGGCTGCACCCAATCTCTGCGC